CAGGACCTGATTTGAGTCTTAGAATATAAGACGTAGAGACGGTGGAGAAGAATTGGCCTATAAAGGAGCTATAGAGTAAGTGAAGACCCAGATGGTCCCTGGTTTACTATGGTTCAACTTCAGAGTTTTTGACTTTAGAATGGTACAAAAGTGATTGCATTTAATATGCTTCTCAATTTACAATGGGGTTCCATCAGGATAAACCAATTATAAGTTGAAAATATCAGTTTGTTCAGGCTTAATCCCGTAAGTCGAGGAGCATCTGTATTTGATACGGAAGAGTCAGGAGAATGCTACATTAATGCCTCTTCTGCGTCATCCTCAGATCACCACCTCAGTATCATAATGAAAGCACTCATTTTCCTTTCTTCTCTCCCATTCACCTATTCATTCCTGTCCCCCAGAGGAAACCACTTTCAAATCTTCAGCCATTTATTATAGTATTTACTTTCATTTTCCTGAAGGATATGATTATACTGCTATGGTTTTGCTTTTCAATTCTAAAAAATATTTACTACAATGGAAGATAAACATTTAGCCACCTTCACCCCTCATCCACACACAATGCTTCTACACCCCACTCTTAACATAGTTATAATAGCATCATATTTAGTTAAGTCAATTTTCAATGATATGTTTTGACTATGTAAATGTTATTTATAGCTGAGCTATGTATGGTTTTCATGGTTATATTTTCTTTACCTTTCTTTTAACCACCCCTCTACTCTGGAATTAATGATTACATTTTTGTTTGCTTAGTATTCTTCTTTAATATCATCAGTTTAATCTCCAAGTTCTGACACAGCTGCCAAACTTTTCTTGGTACAATTCTTTATAAATATTAAATATTCTATAAGCTTATTTTTAGTCCTTCCTTCCTTCCCTTCCCTCTTCCCTCCCTTCTCTTTCCTTTCCCTTCCGCCCTTTGTTCCTTCTTTCCCTCCCTTCCTTCCTTCCCTCTCTCCCATATTTCTCTCTTTTCTTTCCCTCCCTCCCTCTTTCTCCCTTCCTTCATTCCCTCCCTCCCTTCTTTCTCCCTTTCCTTTCCCTCCCTCCCTTTCTTTGTTCCTTCTTTCCTTCCTTCCCTCCCTCCCTTCCTTTCCCTTCCTTCCTCTTTCTTCTTTTTTTTCCGAGATGGAGTCTTGCTCTGTTGCCCAGGCTGGAGTGTAGTGGCGTGATCTCGGCTCACTGTAACTTCTGCCTTGGAAGCTCAAGCAATTTTCCCACCTCCGCCTCCTGAGTAGCTGGGACTACAGGGGTGTGCCACCACATCTGGCTAACTTTTGTGTTCTCAGTAGAGGCAGGGTTTTGTCATGTTGGCCAGGCTGGTCTTAAACTCTACTTAAGCGATCCACCTGCTTCGGCTTCCCAAAGTGCTGGGGTTACAGTCATGAGGCGCCACCCAGGCCTATAAGCTTCATTTGTGAGGGGAGCCTGTGGGGGCACTGTCCCTCCTGAATTGGTGATCTCTAATCCTACATTAAACAAGTGTTCTCCTAGAACTTTATTTCATCATCATCTCAGGAATTTCCTTTGCTCCTCTGTGAATCTTGTTCCTTTTTCCCTCACACTGCTTCTTCTTGGTTTACACCTCCTCGCTTTTGTGGGACATACCAAAACACTGGTTTTGAGAGAGGCCACAGGGGAGGAGGCAGCAGGGTGAAGGTGGGAATGGAAGTTATCACCTGACGGTAATGCAAGAATACTGTGTTGTGTGCTCTTGGAAGTTCGTCTTTCAGAGACAATACATTTCAACTATGCTGAATTTGAAAGCTAAGGCCTTTAAGATAGAGCTTTATGTTTTTTAGTGTACATAGCAGGCTTGGATTTCTCCTAGAGGACACACTATTCCTCCCCCAAATACCAAAACACAATCATTAAAGAAACTGTACTTCACCACGTTGACAGAAGAGGGCACCATTAAACAAAGAATCTTGTCAATTAGCCCACATCCACAAGAATAATTACAAAAAATGGAATAAATCTATGCAAAGCTACTTAAAGAAAGAAAGAGACTTAACATACCTGAAATGTGTTGAAAAAATGATCACCAAGCAGAGGAAAACTGCAATGCAACACTCCAGATTCAATTAAATAAACAAGTATACAGACATATGATAAGCTATCTTTATTTTTATTTTTTGAACTTGGGAGGTTCAAAAAATAAATTTAAAAATTTTATTTATGTATTTATTGAACCTCCCAGGTTCAAGAGATTCTCCTGCCTCAGCCTCCCAAGTAGCTGGGATTACAGGCGCACACCACCACATCCAGCTAATTTTTACATTTTTAGTAGAGAGGGGGTTTCACCATGTTGGCCAGGCTGGTCTCAAACTCCTGACTTCAAGTAATCTGTGAGCTACACCACTGCACTCCAGCCTGGGTGACAGAGCAAGACTCTGCCTCCAAAAAAAAGAAAGAAAGAAAGAAAGAGAAACCAATACTCTCGATTTTATATATGGATTCTTCCTTCCGCCTTCTCCATCATAGCTTTCCAAGTATGATGCCCTTAATTTTCTTAACTGTAGTACAGCCACCTCGTGATGCACAGCCCAGATTTTTCCTCCGCTGTTCCACCACTGGGATACATTGTCTTAGTTCTATAACAACATTGATCTAATCCCTGAAGATGAAGGGCTTACTTAAAAAAATTATCTATGTACTAAAAATATATCTATGTCCAAGGCCTTCTTTGTACAGCCCTTGGTATCTGCCAGGGATTGGTTCTAGGACTTCCACCGATACTAAACTCACAGATGCTCAAGTTCTTCACATAAAATGGCCACAGTTATTTGCATATAACCTACTCACTTCTTCTGTATATTTAAAATCACTTCTAGATTACTTATAAGAGCTAATAAAATGTAAACAGTATATAAATCATTGTTATACTGTATTTTTATGGGTATTATTTTTCTTATTTGTTAGACACAAAAAAAGTTCCTCTTCAAAGGATTTAGTTTATTTGGTTTCTTTGTTCCCTGCTTTCAAGGCCAGACTTCCTTATTCTTTGCACCTCCCTGCCGTTTCAATAAACAACTTTCCTACCAGTCCTAATCTACAGAACCCACATCTGCTACTCACTCTATAAATTACCCCTCCCGCCACAACAGCTCTTCCAGCCAAAACTGCTCTTCCCTCCTGACACATACCCCTATACTCTTCAAGTTAACCAATCAAGTTCAACTTAAATTGTACAGTCCAACTCCAGCCAATAAAAACAAGACACAATAACACAAACAAACTACATTAAAAATAAAAACCTCTTTCCTTCTTTATTCGGTGTACTCTCGTGAGAACCAGCCCTACAAACACCTTCTACAAAAGTAAATTTGCCTTACTAAAAATCCCTTAAGTACTTGTTTTCTTTACGACTCCAAACTTTTATTCCCAACATTATTGTAACTTTTAGAGCTTTTAAATCTGTGGTCGGTTGAATTTGCAGATGTGGGATGATGAATATGGAGAATTGAGTGTATTCCATTTTTTTTCCCTAGGCATAAAATTGCACTCACTCATTCCTAGACCTTCACCTCATATACACATCTGTGGTTCAGGGCAGCTACATATTTAAGAGATAGAGTCCCCATTCAATTTTGAGAATAGGGAATTCTCTCCCAATATCAGAGGGAGAGATGAAGTTGCCCTACATGACATCTTAGCACAAAGAAAAATGTACCCTTCCCTCTGGATGGATGTAGTTTTGCACAATGGTGTGGCTTGGCAAGTGGAATTCGAGCAGAGTTGTAGTCCCCATTAACTCCTTTGGCCAGCTATCTTTATGTAACAGCCAAATTGCACAATCATACAAGGTAGCCCTGGGACTGAGACCCATGAAGATTATTTCCTTAAGAATTTTTTTTTTTTAGTAACCGACAAGGCAAGTAGACACAGTCACTTCACAGTTTGTAATTACATGTTTGCAGGATTTAATGTCTGCTCCCATTTTAATGAGTTCCATGAAAGTAGGGACTCCATTTTTACTCACTCCACATGCCATAGCCCACTATAGTGCCTGGCACACATTAAGCACCCATCACTGGCTCAATTCTCCTAATAGCTGAGCCTGCAATACTTTTAGAAGAGCAAAAAGATTATCTCATAACTCTCAGACATGACCATTGTCCAGAATTTTATTTATGGCAAACCCAAGAACCCATATGTAGAGAAGAGTGAAAAAGACAGGCAGAGACTGCTAGCTAGAAATGTTACCATGGTCTACCACTGCTTCTGGATAATGTCCTATTTAAATAGAGTAGCAATATAAATGACAAAATCTGTGACTGGCCCTTCACTGGTCACTTATATTTGCACTTTATCAATGGCTTCCTATTCTGTCCAATACCATTCTTGCCTCTTTCTCCAATCCATTTTCCATATCACAGCCAGTGTGAAAACTAACCTGATTGAAGTATGATTTCAGTTAAAAACCTTTCAATGGTTTCTGATTGCTTAGGAGAAAAAGGCACAATGTTCTTATAATTTATAAAGCCCTGTGTGATTTTGGCCTCTGCAAGCTCACCTCGAGTCCTTCCCTCTGCTTTCTCTGCTCTAGCCAGCTCCTTTCTAGGCTCCTGTCACTTCCCTAGGGAGATAATGCTCACTACTGCTCGGAGCCCTCAAACACGCTGTTTCCTCTGTCTAAAAGACTTGCTCTCCCCATGACAATCTTTACTCATTTAACTTGTGCCTCCTATAGGTCCTAACTTATATTGAGTTCTGAACATATACTGAAGGCATAATGTAAAGTGGGTCTCTCCACTTGCCTAGGAACTCTGCGTTCTCTGTATCTTATTTTCCTCTGCAGTCCTGATCTCATTTTGTCCCACTGTATACATCTGCATGATATGATTAGCATCTATCCCTCTCACTACAGGCTGAAGGTCTATTTGGCTCACTAGTTATCCTCAGCATTACCCAGGGGTTTGGCATAGAGCACAGATCCTGATGTTTATTGAATAAATGAAGGTACAGTTTTTAAAGGTCACAGAGACATTTTTGAAACAAAAGCTTTCACATATTTATTGCTGAATCCACCTTACTAGCACAGAGCATATACAAAAAGAGAAAGATATATTCTAAGTAAAACATGTGCAAATAGTCCAGATAGTGGTGACATTTTCAGCTCGATATTGTAAGATGATCATAATCTTGATATAGCATAAATATGCATGTCATCTCATGTGCAATTCCTCATAGACCCAGCTTGGTTCTTCTCCAATGTCTCCTTTTGGAGTTGTACCTGATTTTATTACCAGTTTTCATCTGAATCCACTGGGGAATGGGACGATTTTGCTTTTGTTTCTTGGCCAGGAATCGCTTAATGACGAAAGTCTTGTGAGAAGACATGGTGAGAAACAGTCAACCCCACACCACTATGGTGAAGAAAGAGAGAGAGAGAGACAGAGACATTACTAACATAGGATAGGATAAGGTAACATGAAGAAATAACAAGACAAGAAAGAGGATCTTTGGTGTCACAGTGAGGGCCCATTGCCACTCAGGATCCCACAGCCAGCTCAGGTGCAGCTGATGAGCCAGCAGCAGGCTGAGGAGTCTGATAGCTGTTCTGGTGGATCAGCAGCAAAGACAGGAGTCCCTTTGTTCCACCTGTTCCTGACTTGATGCTACTCATTTCTCAGCAACATACTTCTGTTTCTCTTGTTAAATGTCTATTAGGAGGAATTTTTTTTCAACTTCTAAAGAAGTTATGAACAGGTAATACAAGTTCATTATAGAAAAACCAAAGCAATAGAACACTAAAAAAAACCATTATCCCATCTAGCTAGAAAAAGCCCTAGTATTAGCAACTTGACATTTTAATAGCCTTCCAGTTAAGATAGATGTGCATGCAGAATATTGTCTTTCTATAAATTGAGATACTGTAGATATTATTTTGTAATCACAACTTATTTAACTAATATGTGACCCTTTTTTGGCAACTCTTTCTCAATAACCCTTTACATCTGGAGATCTTAAATCTTTCCCAGTGTTCTCTTATGGCAAATAGTAAAGTACAGGAAAATATGGCTGAAAATAGAAATCTATAAAACAAGTAATTCATCCCCATGAAACTTAAAATATAAATGTATACATTTAAAACATGTAATTTGCTGTAAAACTACCTCATGGTACTTTCATATTATTACTATTTTAAAAGCCATTGGCTGTGCATACTAATATTCTTATCTAATTATCAAAATTGACCACCTTGCCATCTACTGAACTGATTTCAAATTGCATGCTACCTTTCCTTTTAAAGATCCTGGGCCCTCCATAATTAAGGAATATCAACCTGGGGCATAGAAGCACAGGTAGTTATTTTTAATAATTCAGGTGCAAAATAATGTCTACATCTCAGATTGTGAGAGTAATTAAATGGCGGCAATAAAGTCCTACTATAAACAGTGTTGGAAATATACAAACAGTATGGCTCTGTCATGACAAAGGCATTTTTTTTCCTAACCCTAAGATGGTGAGAATAGTGGTAGTGTGGAAAAGGCATGGTTTCTGACTGTCTGAGTTCACATGTAGTGCCTAACACAGTCTTTTCAGATGTGACCCATGCTATTATCTTGCTTCTCTCTCACGGTCACCTTACTTTTGTGAGATATCTATTCTATGTCCAGCATCTCCCCTAACATGCAGGTAGAAAGAAGGGAAAGAAAGAAGGGCAAAAGAGTACATGGCATGGGGCTACTGGCTTTTAAGGGGCTTCATTAGGTCTCTCTCTCAACACCTTTGATTACACCTCATTGGCAAGAACTGTGTTCCACTGCCATACTTATCAGTAATGAAGGATGAGCACTATAGTGTTTTAGCTGAGCACACGATGCCCCTAATCCCATGCAAATCAGGTTCTGCTCAAGAAAAAGGAAGAAGAATGAATAGAAGAGTAGATAATAGCAGTCTTTCCTATAACAATTTTGGAAAAAATAATTTAGGATAGGTCTATGAATATTAGCTCTCAAAATAACCAAAAGAAAACAGAGGGAAATTTAAAGAAGAGAAAAAGAAAGTTCTCAAAGGAAATACCTATTAGTCTAAGTATTGAAAAGTGGGGTGAAAAAAAGCCCAAATTGATGGGCAACCCGTAACTGTCATGGTAAGGAAATACCAGAAGAAGTAAGAGTGCTAACTGTACTGTCTGCCTTTCAACCCTAATATCCAAACTTCAGACACTTCTGATGCAACTGCCCTAGTTGGGAGGCCAGTGTCCACAGATTTGTACACCTTCCCACTTGGAACTCTCAGGAGCAGTAGACTTGATGTGCAAGTAACAGATGAGTGGCCAAGTAAGTTGGGGCACATAGTGGGGTGCGGTTGAGATACAAATGTTTCATGAAATATAAAACATTGGAAACTAAGCCACAAGTATCCTTGTAGAAGTCTGCAGGCTAAGAGAATAACAAATAGGCCTGGAAATGCTGCATGGGTGATAAACATAGGGAAGGCATACTGCTATTTCTGCCCAGTCCTTTCATTTTCTTCCCATACATTAGCAGCAAAGAACCTTTAGCTACTGATCACAGTTCATCTTAAAATGACCACATGCTGACTTTAGCTAGCTATAAGAAGTATCTAGCTGACCGTGTTCTACTCTTCGTATATCAATTCCTTCTATACAGTCTCTACCAGTGGTTCCAACCACTTCAGAAAAAAGCTGTGAAGAACACAGGGAAAGAATTAGACTGGGTTGCCAACAAAGCCAGAGTCTAACACCCTCTCCCTTGAGAACCCTGGTCGTACTGGTTAGGGTTCTTGAAGCCAATCTTATTTGAAAGTCTTCTCTAAGAAAAATTTACTGTAGTAAGATAAGGAACCACAATAGGCCAAAGAGTTTACTGTACTGTTCCAGGTATTAGTTTCCAGTGAAGAAGATGATAGGGTGCTCACGTTTGGAGATACCTTGGGCTAGGAGCTCCAGGTATTTCCTGTAAGTTCAACGCCAGTGACACACAGCTCTTAGCTAGAACTCTCATGGAAACTTTTAAAAATAAACTCAAAGAGATAATTGCTATCTGTATTGAAGACAGTGAAAGAACTGAAAGAACTGGCTATAATACCAACAGAAATAAGTGTATAGCCAGCAAGTCAGTAGTCCTCATTCTAGTACAATAGTAATGGTTATGAGGGCAGTTTTACCTTAAAAGGAATGATTACACTCATTGCCCTAGACATCTCAGATGATTCGTAGAACCTGCAGGAGTTAAATTTTCTGAAGAAAATATTGAACTGTGTACCTTTGGCTATATGCTAAGTTATCTAATTAGCCTAGCGGCTGCAAATACAATAAAATATAGATCCCGCATACTGGAGATACACACTTCATTCCAGAAAACTGAGAGATGAGAAATCATGGTACCATGTAAAAAAACTGGGCAAATTCTAGAACCTGGATAACCTATGCAAAGGCGAAATTTATTAAATCATCATAAATGGAAGGCCTACTGCAGTAGAAATAGAGCACAGGTGGAGATGAGGCGCGTGAGATTTATCAAATCTCTATCAGATGCAATCACACTTGGCCATTTAACTGGTGTCGCCAGAAAGATGATCTACCCCTAAACGCTGAGACACACGTTTCCTGCCCCTTGCTGTCCTAAGCATAATCTTCAGCCATATCTAGATGATTCTGAGAGTACAAGGGAATAGGCACCAGTGCTTGTAACATCAAGGTGCTCATAAGGATCGCATTCTTTAACATCTATATTGAACATCAAAAATTGGACTCTGGATTTCGGCAAAAAGTATAGGCCCACTCCTCATTCTTTTACTTACTGGACATAGGGGTCACGTGCACACCAATGGCTGTCTGAGGAATACAGTAGTGTTAGCTATTTGGGCATAACTAGACCACTGGGGCCACTAAATAGTTCCTCAAAATTCTTATTAGGCTCAGAAACAGAATTTGTTAAGTAATTTCCAAAGTTCAGTTGACTGGGCAACTTCAGCAATCTGTGATACAGCTATTATACATGACCAGCCGTGCAAAAGTAATGCCAAAGAAATGGTAGCCACAATAAATGTGGTCTAAACCCATGCCATTAGATCATATTCTAGCTGGAAGGAAAGGAGGAGCATGTGCTACTAAATAAGGAGAAAACCTGTATCCCAGACAACAAAACACAGGGGATGCAGTAAGATATGTCTATAAGGAAGTGGTTAAACTGAGTGGCCTTCATGGTGGTCCTGGCTCTCCACACCTTTTGTAAAGTAGGATTTTATATCAGAGATGGGAATTTATACTAAGAAATTTTATACTTGTGAGAGCAAGATTTTGATTCTGTGGTAAGTTGTATGAAAATAATAATAAATGGTGGTGTCATCTTGGTATAAAGGTCAACATGTTGTTTTAAATAAAAGTTATCAGCTAAGGGTTGGATGGTGGTTGGCCATAGCTTGCCTTGTAACTTAGGAAGTGCCATGGCTGGAAAGCCTCTATGTGATGTGAAAAGCACCCTCTGATATTTGTAGCTCAGACCTGCAGAGTTCCTGCATCTTGTGGCTTTCTGAATCGCTACACCCAGACACAGAAATGCACCTGCTGGCTGTTGATGACTTCCTCTTCCTTACCTATCCCTAATCACTGTCTTTCTGCATGTGGTTAGAGTGAGATAGTAGATCCCCCACTTGACCACCTGCTGCCTGTTGATCTTCCTTGCCTCTCCTGTTTTCCTTCCCCATCATATAAATCCCTAACTTTGGTTGGGGTGGGGGGGCTGGATTTGAGGTTTGGCTCTTGTCTCTCTGGTTGACATCAACTGTGAAATAATAACCTTCCCTGGCATTACTTGCTTCTTTTTGCACAGCAAGCAATGGGACCTAGACTGAGCGCCTAGTGTTTGATATCAGTATCACAAATTGTAAAGTGGATCTTGTATTAGGCATACCTCCGCACTTTGTGAGGCTTTCTGAAGTTGTGGGAAGCAGTTCTTGGAACCCAGTGAGTAAATACCAGAGCCCTCCGGAGTGGTTAAAGATTATATTACTATTTAAGGTCATAAAGTTAAAGATCATAATTTTAAATATGGAACTCTGGGAATCTTCTAACAAAAAAGAGTTTCTGTATCCAAACCACCTTGTGTGTCCCATGTCTGATTAAAATTGTAGACTAAAAAAAGAACTTTTTGTTCCCAACAATTGCTTTTTTTATTTTGGAGACAGAGTTTCACTCTTGATGCCCAGGCTGGAGTGCAATGGCACCATCTCAGCTCACTGTAACCTCAGCCTCCCAGGTCCAAGCAATTCTCCTGCCTCAGCCTCCCGAGTAGCTGGGATTATGGGCGTCTGCCACCATGTGTGGCTAATTTTTTTTTTTTGTATTTTAGCAGAGACAGGGTTTCACCATGTTGGCCAGGATGGTTTCAAACTCCTGACCTCAGGCAATCCACCTGCCTCGGCCTCCCAAAGTGCTGGGATTACAGGTGTGAGCCACCATGCCTGGCCCATCTGTTGCTTTTTAATGTTTTGAAAAAATCACAGTATTTTGAAAAATATTGTGTGTTATTAATTTATTTTCCATTTCTAGTGATTGTGGCCCAGGTTATTTAGATCAGTCTGCCAGCTGAAAACAAAAGAACTAAAAAACTGGGTAAAATATATTTCAAATAATCTTTTAAAAAGCATCAAAGAGGTTATAAAATAGTAAGGAATTATCAGACCAAAAGTAAAGAGAAGCAAAGAATCAAGAGAGAAGTAAACAAGCCTGAAGCCACTTTTTCACTGAAAGCATTAGCTAATCCCAGAACATTAGGACCTCCTTTTTGACAGCATTTCAGGGTACAGAGGAGATTGAAAACAAAACCCTGGGTTCATATAAGTTGGGGTGTCTGACAGGAGACCTTCTCCTACAACAATCTGGGATCCAAAATCTCAGAGTGAAGGTGAACAGAATTGTAATAATCTGAGAGTGATGAGACACTTCTGAGTTGACTAGGAAATACCAAACTTTGAACAGGTGAACCCAAATTTGTACTACCTGCAGGTACCCAACAAAAGCAAATACAGGTGCTCTTTGGGGCAAAGTATCTTAATTATAGGCCAGACAATTATTTTGACAAAATGACATTTCCAATGCAATGACTAGCACAGCGTCAGATGTATCCAGTGTATAAGAAAATTGGAATAAATAATTAAAAGAGACAATAGAAGGAGATCATTAGAAACTTTAGGTAGGACCCAGTATCTGTGTTTTAAAAGGCCATCTAGGTCACTCTGATACATGCTAAAGTTTGAAAATCATTGCTTTATACTTTTATCATATAAACATGCATCCCATAAAAAAATACATAAATGTAATAGATCAGAGAATGGATCCAAAAATTTGCATTTCTAACAAATTCCCAGATAATGCTGATGCCAGACCACACTTTGAGAACCAGTGGTATGAAAAAAAGAATTTTAGGATACAGGTAAAGATAGTGGTCACCTGTGGGGAGGCGAAGGGCTGTTACTTAGAAACAATATGCACATATTTCCTAGAATGCTGATAATTTTCCATTTCTTAGTCGGGGTAGTAATTACACAGGTGTCATTGTTAAATGACTCATTTACACTTTAGTGCATTTTTTCTTTTTAAAAAAATTTTTACTTTTATTGTACTTTAGGTTCTGGGGTATGTGTGCAGATCATGCAGGATTGTTGCATAGGTACATACATGGCAATGTGGTTTGCTGCTTCCACCGCCCCCCATCACCTATATCTGGTATTTTTCCCCATGTTATCCCTCCCCAACCTCCCCACCCCCTGCTGTCCCTCTCCTACACCCCCCCCCGAACAGATCCCAGTGTGTGATGCTCCCCTCCCTGTGTCCATGTGTTCTCATTGTTCAACACGCGCCTATGAGTGCATATTTTCATGCATAATGAGATAACTGGTTTCCCTTTCCCATTTGATCATATAGTTCAAATGCCATGGCATAAATCCTGTCTACCATCATCCCACCACCTTCATTTACAATCAGTGCCTAAAGTCAAAAATGTAAGTTTGTGAAGTTCCAAGACACAGCTCTTTTCACTTTACTATGAAATGTAATTAGTTCACAAAATTAAATAGCTTTAAAAATTAAAACAAGAAAAGTTTAGTCGAAGTTTCTAAAAACCATATTTAAAACACTGCTTAAAATTCAGAGATATACTATATACAGCCTTCATCCCTAATTTAAAAATATCCACAAAACTAAAAAGAATCTTAAAATTTTAACAAAGTATCCAATTTTTAAAATTATGCTTTTTTTCCACAAATTTAAAGTAAGGGGAAGAAAATCCTACCTTTTCCAAGTCTGAATTTCCTACTCCAAAGAGGCAAAGATGCTTGCTTTTCTCCAAATAAAATCTGAAAAGAAAATATCCAGTGTGTAATAGTAACAGTAATATCCTACCATTTTCAGTGAAACCTTAACTATGGGTGAAAGTAATGTTCATCAATAGGCCTCAAATTTGTGAAAACGTTAAGAGAAAATACAGAGTCTTGTTGAGCAAAGAGAGGTAATGACCAAAAAAAAAAGAAACATATATTAAACTGATCAATGAATCTTGTGTTTGCTATTAAACTCCCACTCACAAATCCTCAAACAACATTAATAAAATCTGGGATGTGTACACCTGTTTCTTGTGTTTATGAAAAATATGCTCTCTTTGGGGATTCGATTCTTCCCAAAACTTCAAAAACAGTAATATTTGCCATTTTTTGGATTGATAGTGTCAACATAGCTATCATACAAGCCCTCCTCCCTTTATTCTGTGAGGAAACCATTACAACAGTTTTTTTTAAAATACACATTTCTTTCTCTCTTTTTTGAGACAGGGTCTCATTCTCTTGTCCAGGCTGAAGCACAGTAGCATGATCCTAGCTCACTGCAGCCTCAAATTCCTGGCCTCAGGTGATCCTCCCGTTTCAGTTTCCTGAGTAGTTGGGACTACAGGCTTGCGCCAGCATGCCTGGCCTATAACAATTATTAGTTACTGATTCTGGCAGCTAGTCAGTAGCTGCCTATGCCTTGTGATGTACCAGACAGGTATCTGAACAACCAAATAGTTCCCACAGAAAGGTCTGTGGGTAAAGCCTCCCTGTGGCAAGCTACTGACTGCGGCTATGGCAAAAACATATGCAGTTGGGTTTTGTTATGCCTGTAAACATTATGACGCATCCAACATCCAGATATGTCTCCCCATTCATGTGGTAACACCTGGTCAGACCCTATTATACCTCTTGCTTTGCTCAGCCCCATTATACCTCTTGCTTGCAGAGAGCTGTATGCACACATCCCTTACAACGTCTTCTCCTTCCACTGTTGCAGAAAGACTGTATGTTACAATGTCCAGTCATTATCATATCAACCGTAGGCAATGTGGCAAGACAGTGATGACAGCTTAACAAGGATTGTTCCTGGATATCGAATGTTAGATCCAGATGGTCAAACAGGTGAAAGGCAGTTTTTACAACCATGTGAGTTAATACATTGCAATTTCAAGATAATATAGTTGAGGTTAAAAGAGGTTTGATAAGCTCCCTTCCTGAGCAGATAGAATAGTAGGTTTTAACAGCCTAAATATACAACCTGGGAGGATTTGGGGAGATGTGAAAAGCCACACACATTGAACACTGTCAATCCAATGTCTCTGTGTCCTTTACTCATAATATAACCTTCACCAAGCCTCAAAGCCAGTCTTTCCTGGGATCACTTCAATTTAGAAACTAATAATCATTTTTTAAACAAAAGCATAACCATGGCTTTGGAATATAGCTGATCTTAAGAGAGCAGTGCTCCTTCTCCTCCTCACTAACAACAATACTTTGAACACACAATTCGTTCTTTAAAAAGACATCTTCACTCAGTTCTTTTGAGTAGAAAATTCTAAATTATCAACATTTAGCTAAGCTTATTATATTCAATGACTGTTTACCTTGTCTTAAGGATAAATGTGCCACAGTAAAGCACAAAATATGCTGTATCTTTTCATTAATGTCTACAAGTTATACTGGATTATAAACTCTCTATACGTTTTAGACTATAAAGTTAACCTTAAGAAACCAACCTGGCCAGGCACGGTGGCTCATGCCTGTAATCCCAGCACTTTGGGAGGCCGAGGCAGGTGGATCATGAGGTCAGGAGTTCAAGACCAGCCTGGCCAAGATGGTGAAACCCCGTCTCTACTAAAAATACAAAAATTATTCGGGCATGGTGGCACATGCCTGTAATCTCAGCTACTCGGGAAGCTGAGGCAGAGAACTGCTTGAACCTGGGAGGCAGAGGTTGCAGTGAGCCAAGATCACGCCACTGCACTCCAGCCTGGGTGGGCGACAAAGTGAGACTACATCTCAAAAAAAAAAACCGGAAACCAACTTATAAAATTTCTGCCTTATATCTTTCAACACAATCTGAGTTTTTCTCCCTATTCCCAGGTCACCACTATACCCTCCCCGACCTTTTTTTGTGTGTGTGTCTGTGAGAATATCAGGCTTACACATAAATAAGTGCCACTTAATAAAAGCTGCATTTTATCATCTAGGTCACCCAGTAGGTATAGAGAAGATATTAGTGATTTCCCTTGGGCTAGGCTAAAATACTTGACCTCATATGTAGTTTTAATATACTTTGTTATAATAATCAGTTGGCTTGAAAAACCAATCATAAAACTCTCAAAGCATCCTACTCTTTCAAGACAGTCCTTGCCAAATGCTTTGAATATTCTTGTTGACTGTCCTGCCTTTCCTATGTTTCCTCTTATAAGAACCAGTTTGGGAGTTTGGGAGATATTCATTTGTGAATCTACTTTGCTTCACATGAGTTGATAACATCCATGATGTTAGCTTCAAGGCAAAGTTCTTTATACATTCCATTCATTAGTTTTATTCTCTGATGTATTAAACTGAAATTACTTTTGCACCAACCTAATGGTTTGAATATTTGTCCCCACCCAAATCTCATATTGAATTGTAACCCCCAATGTTGGAGGTGGGGCCTGGTGGGAGGTGTTTGGGTGCTGGGAATGAATCCTTCGTGGCTTGGTGCTGCCTTGGTGACTGTGAGTTCTCATCAGTTAGTGTTACTCTTGCTTTTGCTATGTGACATGCCTGCTCCCACTTCACCTTCTGCCATGAGTAAAAGCACCCTGAGCCCTCTTCAGAAACAGAACAGATGCTACAGCTATGCTTCCTGTACAGTCTGTAGAACCATAGCCAATTAAATCTCTTCTTTATAAATTACCCAGTCTCAGGTAATTCCTTATAGCAATGTAAGAATGGCCTAACACATTCTCGATCATTTGATAAAAGTTTTCATCCTAAATTTCTTCTGTATGGCAAGTGGTTTCTGAGTAATCTTTAATTTTGAAATGAAAGTACTCAAGTATTTTATATGCAGAGGTAGAGCTCTTCCTGCAATTTTTTTTTTCTTTTTTGCACTTCCACTGTTACTGAGTCATCTGCATCACATGACATTTCCATCAAATGGGCACAACTGTCTGTATAATTCATGCTGTTTGTTGACGTATGAGCCCAGGGCATCATCATATCGCTTGCTAACTTCTTTTCCTTAGCATGTCCTCTTTCAGCTTTCTGTACATCCTTGGTTGGCATATGACCTAAAATCAAAGCGGTATTTACAGGCTTTTTTGCACATACACAGCTCTCATTTTCTCTACATCGTCTTGAAAGTTGAATTACTTTTTTCTCTTCCGTATTTTTGACCACTGTTAACAGTGGTTGAAAGAACTCTGGAGAGCCGGGCACACTGGCTCATACCTGTCATCCCAGCACTTTGGTAGGCCAAGGCGGGTGGACTGCCTGAGGTCAGGAGTTCAAGACCAGCCTGGTCAACATGGTGAAATCTTGTCTCTATTAAAAATATAAATTAGCAGAGCATGGTAGCAGATGCCTGTAATTCCAGCTACTCAGAAGGCTGAGGCAGGAGAATTGCCTGAACCTGGGAGGTGGAGGTTGCTGTGAGCTGAGATTGCGGCACCGTACTCTAGCCTGGGTGACAGAGCAAGACTCCTTCTAAAAAAAACAAAAAAAACACACAAAAAAACAAACTCTAGAAACAAACTGCATAGGCTCAAGTCTCACTGTTACCACTTGCTATTAGTGTGACCTTGAACACATTTCTTAGTGCTGTTGTTCCTTATTTTTCTAATCTGTAATATGTGGACAATAACACCTAACATCACAGGGTTGTTATGAGGCTTATACATGTGAGGATTCAGTGTAGTAATGAATGTAAAATGTTTAGGATAATGCTTGGCACATTATAAACACAATACAGGTCTTAGTTGTTATTTTTATAACTACAGCTGTATAAAGCCTACAGTTGTTGAACTTATAAATGTTCCCAATTTTAATATTTCTGTGTTGATTCTATGGTACTATGTCACTATCTTGACTATTTAATAGAAAGATAGCACATACACAGACTATAAGCTCCTATTATAACCTATTAAGGTTATATTTTTCTTGAATACTCAAGGATGCTCAAAAGAGTAATTGAGCAAATGATAAAGCTTTCATCGTCACACCAGATACAGTGCATTTCCTTTAGGCTGCCTACCACATAACCCCATTAGTGATGGTTGTAAGGGTCACAAACACTCCTGGTTTCCATGATATCTGAAATAAAAGAACACTATACCAGAGGTACTGCCCATGGCAACATAAGTCAAGTATGTATGTCCCCAGGCAGCTGATAGCAAGATTATACATGCATGTGTACACACATGTACTTATTCACCCAAAGTGGCCAATATTAATGTTTGAAGATTATTGCTATACTCAGCATCTTCCTTTGACAAGAGAGAATACAGATTTTTTTTTGAAAAAAGTTTTGCTCAAAAATCTATGAAAGATGCTCAGCTGCTGGGAGTAAAGTATAAGTCTGGTGCTAGTTGAATGATGACCACAGGTGTAGAGGGAATAGGTGTGGACCCACCTCTTCAATGAGAGTTCATTTAGGTAATCAGATAAATCTGCTGCTGATAGACAAAAGATGGCAGATACGGAAATGATTTTGCTCATTCTCTATTTTAAGGATGACTTCACAAGAACCCCCCTGATTTAGTAAGAAACAGATGTTTCCCCCGTATGGTTTCTCACTATCTCAAGAGCCACTTTTGTCCATATTCAACATGCATAAATATTTCAGTAATTTATCTTCTGCCTCGGATGTAGAAACCTAGAAAGAGCATCGCTCCTATGCCAACAACCAGAAAAACTACAAAATAATTTTATTGCAGTCAGTTGTGGGGGGCGGGGGTGGGGTAGGGGAGGGACTACAGTGGGTAGGGAGGGTGGGTAGGGATAACAATGGGAGAAATACCAGACATAGGTGATGGGGGGAT